AACGAAGAGTGGTACTTTCTGTGCTTGGCCCGACCCAAGCCCATAATGGTTCGAAACCCATAGTTATTTTAGGTGATATTTGGCGCGTTGCCACATCAGCACAATATACGTGTTTTGACATTAAAAGCCATTACTTCTCCAAACATTTGAGCCTGAAATGGCAATGGTAATGGTGCCAAACACAACCTTCGCTCTCATTCTATAAACTCCTCGTCCAAACAATAATATATATTGACATTTAAGGTTTCTTCCAAGTAAGGCCCAGTTCAATGTTGTAGCATGCACGGCCCAATTTATGCTTTTCCCATCGTTGGGATAAGGGTGTTGGGGGTCGGTTAAAATGGGCCTTGAATCCTGGCATGTTGTTGGCCAAATCAGCATTTCTTTAATCCTCTCTCTCTCTCTCATATTTACAGAATTTGAAGGTACAGGGTAGGTGTTGTGGTCCTTGTCGAAATCTTGCTGGAAATTAATCTTTAAATTAAAAAAAAAAAAAAACTTCTCAGAGTGAGTTATTGTTTTTCTCAATGTCGAGTTAGTCGTAAAGCACGGGACCCATGTGCACCCTATCACTAACCCCCACTGACTAGATCTAGCATATTGGACCTGGCCCCTCTAGGGTTAAAGCCGCATCAAAGAAAAGAAAATATCTTATATAACTTTTCTATGTAGAAAAGATACGTGTGAGATAAGGGTACAAGCCAAATTGGCTGCACAACTTGCTGGGGTCACGATGGATAGTTGAATATATGAACCATCTCACTTCTCAACTCTCTCAATTCTCTCATTCTAGGTCGGTCCTTCATTCTTAGTCTCTCACACCTCCATTTCATCAACTTGCTGAGAAGCTGCTGGTAAAAGGTTGGCAGCTTAGCTATCCATGCATAAATTCGTATTTAATTAATAATATGAGTTGGTATCACGTACCGATCGTTGAAAATCTTCGAACCCACGTACAAAGTCTTAATTTTGATTTATACCGTATCGTATCGGCATCCCTTTCGTCGTATCGATCGAAGTGCATCACCATCACGATCACGTACGTCTCGACATGGATTTATACGTATATTTATACGCCTACTTTCTGGTCGGTGTACTTCTCCGATGATACTTCCTGGGTGGTCTCTCTCTCTCTCTCTAAACTCTAACTTGGAGGTAACGTTTATTGAATGGTGAATGTGGTTATGGACACTCTGATTGTCAACACGTGGACGTGGATTCCTGGGCCTCTGAAAAGGTTTTCTTTTGTTTTGTGTTAGCCGTGGGACATGCTTCGCATTTCGCATTTCGCATTTTTTTTCTCTCTGCAAATTCTACCTAAGCTCCCTTTGGCAATTACTTCTTCTAGTGAGAGGGTATTTCCGTAACTATATCCATCTCATACCTTACTTTCCCAGCGGTACGGTACGGTGCCGTTTGATATGTTATCTATAAATCACAAAAGGACAAAACGGTAAAAATGAAAAAAAAAGATAAATTAGTGGGACTTGAAATCTAAAAATTCAGTCACTAGAATCAATCAGCGTGGGGTTTTCAGCTTTTCAGCTTTTCTGGATTGGGATGGGCCCACTGCCGCACACGTGGAAAGATTTGTGCGTAGCAAAAGTACGAATCTCATTGTCTTCCTTGCCGGTTTTTTTCCTGGTCCTGGCCGGGCTTTCTTTTTCCACGCGATATCCAAATTCCACGTGTCCATCAAAATTCCCTCATTAATTAGCCTCCCTAGATTTGGTGATTGGTCGGGCCCACACATCCTCTGTTCTGATCTAATTTTACTGTGTGCTCCGTACACACCAACCAGCAGCAACATACCGTTACCACGTGCAGACTGACATCTGGTCCAATCCCACTCCCCACTCCAATGGGTTGGCCCCTATATGACCATCCATATTTATTCTCCCTCCCCCTCCTCCCAATGTATCTTAAGTTTTGACCCCTTCATGAAAATTTCCTAACTCCACCCCTGCTTAATGGATTCATATTCGAATTGATATTTGGGAGATGCAATCACATTTTAGATTTGTATTGTTGGATGGATTGGGATATACATCGATTCCAAATCCATTTACATTCCTAACTACAAACTACAGTTGTATGCATGATGTTCTCGATGTACGACTGTGGTGTCATGTGGGTAGACTTGTGGAGAATGTAGTGGTTAATAGACTCGTACTAATAAACATAGCCATGAACAATGCAGTTCTTTAGACTTTAGAATAGACATGAACAAGCTTTTCACGAGCTATTTAACATCAATTTGTAAAAACCTCAATTTGGTTTGGTCTAAATTAAGTTTTGAGATGAGCTTGAATTTAATATATAGAGCCAAACTTGTAAGCTTAATCGAACTTTTGAATTGGGCCAAACTCAAACTCATATTTCTAGGCTCAAGCATGATATTTTTGTGCCGAGTCAAACTTGAATAGTCAAATATTCAACTCTGCTTGAATCCAAACCTATTAGACTTTACATTTCACAATTTAAAAAAATTAATCGGAGAAATACGCTGCTGCTGCCCACTGCAGAATTCTAAAATTACAATCCCCATAGTGTACTAGTAGCCCTGTATAAACTGCATCATGCCCGTAAATTTAACATCAATTCACGTTTAGGATTCATTCCATCTGTACAGTGAGGATAAAAATTCTGAGATGGGCTGAACAGTTCATTCTCCCAAAATTAAATTCACTTTATATTGATTCATAAAAGAAAATTAATGCTTAACTTACTTTAACCATATTATGTACCATTTTTAGGGTGACTAACGGATTGAGTTTGCTTTTAAAATCAACTCTAAACATGTGAAAGTAATGTACAACGCATGGAAAGGATAAAATTCCACTTTTTATTTTCACGTTGTTAGATTTTTCTATTGAAATCACCGTTAACCACGTAGCTTTTGGTGTAAGAAATCATTCAAATGATCCGGAAAAAAAAAAAAAATAGTCTCTTAACACTTGGAAAAAAAAATTGTCTTGTCATATATTAATTACGACAGCTTATGGTTGCATATGGACAAATGATTCCCTTGGAAATTATATTATTCAATAATACAAAAATGAATCGTTTTTCCCAATTTTCTTGTGTTTGGCTTCACTTGGAAAGCGATTCCAATTGATTGAGAAATATCAAGAGAGGTTTAAAAAATGAACCAGAGATCCGAATCAAGAGGACCGGCCCTTTATTTGGAAAAACCCAAGATTTTGCTCCCAGCTTTCACTCTCTGAAAAGAAATTCGTTTACAAAATCAAAAGCTTGTTTTTTTTCTTCAAGGAAAACATTCATTTTCTTTAATTTTACATGAAACGAAATGGAGCGGAGCAAATCGAGATTATTTAGGAAATTAAGCTTATAACTCAGACATATTAACACCATGTGATAGTAATGCAGATTACCTGTATATAACAAATGCAAATATTAGTTTAATTTTTTTTCTTGTTTTTTGAATATTAAACAATGCCAAAGAATCGCCTATTATTACAAAAATCGAGGGAAAAAGAACAAAAGTGTTTTGACATGTTCTGCTCCTCAGAATGAGAAAAGAAATCGGCCAATTATTACCCATTAGGGAAGGCCTACAGTTTTAATCTTCCATTAATCAGTTATTTATTTTTTCTTTGGTTTTATCTTCCATCAATCAGTTAGTTTAATAGAAAAGGACAAATGTCTGTTAATAGGGGGATTAGAAAATGTGGAAGAGAAGAGGTTCCACATTCCACAGATTTGATCACGAGGCCAGACGAAAACTTGTCGACAGAGTTGAAGAAATGATGATGGCGATGTAGGGCAGAGCAGTGCAAATAACATTTGTTTAATTTAAGGTATAAAATTGCAGAGCTACATATCAGAGAGAGTAAACAAAGCAAGAGACGAAGAGGAAACTGGAGAAGCCACGCTAAAGAGGAAAGAAGCTTCTTTGCAAATAGCAAAAAAGCAAACTCTTTAGATTAAAATCACTACTTTCCTGCTTTAATGAAAACGAAAGCTTTGTTAAATGGGTGGGTGGCCCAAAGATGGGTTTTGCTTTTAAATGAAAGTTAAGCGTCTAGATATGAAATCTTAAGCCTCTGTCCCATTGCTTTCACATAACTCTGGCCTGGAGAAATTAATGGCGTCTCTCTGGTGAAAGGATTTTGAAACAAGAACTCCTATTATTCGGGTAGATAGGACAAGAAGTAACTACATCTAGCCTCGTATAAAAAAAATCTAAAAAACCCCTCTTTTCTGATTAGATTAATGTGGGAGATGCTTAGTCTTTGGAGCTGTGATGCCACATCTCAGTTGGGTGAATCGAATGGTCTGGCTTTGATGGTCATAAGAAATGAGGGTGTTGATTTGGGAAGAAGGAAGAAAGGAGACAGAAGATGGGGCCTTCTGGTTGACTTTCTGGCTGTTGGATCTCTCTCTTGTAGGGTCCAATGGTTGAATGGGCCTGGCCCACAAGCATGTGCGTCACGTGTATGAAAGAGACCCATATGTTTTCTGGGTGGGTTTCCATCATTTTTCAATTAAAATTCCCGAGTTGATGACTTTGCAAAATGTATTCATTGGGGGGGGGGGGATGTAACAAGTTAAATGTATAGTATTCTGGGACCTTTTAGCGAACACATTGCTGCGGTTATAGATGGCGCGACGAGCGGCTTAGCAGGGAGGATAAAAAAACAATACAGCGGTCCACATGGTCTGAGGGGGGTGGCTACGTTGTGCTCTTCGATGGGATGGCAAAACGAAGGGGGGGCCCCGGCCAGCTTTCATGTGGAATTCATGGTCTGGATTGGGCCTTGTCTTTGAGACGGTGGGTAACATCCATTGGCCCACAAGCTTCTCGACCCGAGAGAGAGAGGTCCAACTCCAAGTCCGAATCTAGGCAAAAGACCACATGGAAAATGCATCAGTCAAAAAAAAAACTCAAGGAGATGAGGGAAAAAAACAAACTACTACAGACCATAAAAAATAAAAAATAAAAATAAGGGCCATGTCAAGCTAGGTATTATTCATAAACAATGTGGGTTCAGAAGGAGATAACCACTGTACAGTAGAGAGTAGACCGGGCCCATGTTCTTAACTTTTTCTCACACTCCAATTTATGGAGGAACAATAAAAGCCCAACTCCTCTCTATTTTTTGCGCCACTTCTCTCACATCGATCTCTCCTACTTACTCCAAAAGCTAAGCTCTTCTCTTTTGTATTATGGAAGAACCGCCCATCATGGGATCTGAGGGTCAAAGCTCCTATTCTTCTACCTCCTGCACCACCTCTTCTTCTTCTTCTTCTTCTTCTTCTTCTTCTTCTTCTACAGGCGCAAGCGTCTTCACAGAATTCAACCACACCCAAAAGAATTCAACAGCAGCAACACAGAAAGGATCAAGGAAAGCCCAAGAAAACGAGAATGGCAACGAAAGTAGAAAGCGGCAGAAGAGCAGCAGCAGCAGAAGCAACGACGGGAAGCACCCAACTTATCGTGGAGTGAGGATGCGTAATTGGGGGAAATGGGTGTCGGAAATCCGCGAGCCGAGGAAGAAATCAAGAATCTGGCTTGGGACATTTCCCACTCCAGAAATGGCAGCTCGAGCCCACGACGTGGCAGCACTTACGGTCAAGGGCAAGTCAGCTTACCTCAATTTCCCGGAGCGGGCTCACGAGCTTCCCCGGCCGGCCAGCTCATCGCCCAAAGACATCCAAGCTGCCGCTGCCAAGGCCGCCGCTGCCACATTCGGCGAGCATCCATCGAGAAGTAGTCATGAAGCCGACGCCGAAGGTGAGCCTAGCGAACCGGAACCAGAGTCTCTTCCAATCACTCACTCCCCATCTCTCACCACCACGTCCGCAGACACCCAAGAATTCTCAGTTTCTCCGTCCACAGATGAAGAAGACAGCCTGTTCTTCGACCTGCCCGACCTATTCCTGGACCTCAGCAGCAATCAAATCGACAGGTTTGGCTTCTGCTCGCCTTTGCTTTCGCCGGGAGAAGCCGACTTCGGATTCCAGATGGAGGAGCCATTCTTATGGGAGTACTAGGACTACTAGCTAGAAGACGCCCTTAGCCCAACTTCTTCTCCCTCTGTCCCTCCCATCCATGTACACTACTAACTTTCTGATTTTTCCCACATTTGAGCACCAAAGTTACTCCTCCGTCCAAATCTATAGAAACCCAATGCAGGAAACAGTTCGTTCCATTTAGGAAATTGGAACCTCAGCTTATTGGGTTTTTTGTGCCGTGCTACTCAAGTCCAGATGTCCACTTTTCTTTTTCGGAAGAAGATTTATTGCAGGGTTCGACAGTGGAGGAGAATTCTCCATGTCTCCATGTCTGGTTTGCTAACATGCGCCCTGAGGGTGTGATCAGGGGCCCTAACCTTCACCTTCTTTTATAGTCTGAAACTTCATATATATTATATAATATTATGGAAGAATAGGTGTAATAACAGTGACATGTTTCTGTCTCTTGGAGTGAAAAATGGAATGTAATCCAAAGTTTTCACTGGATTTTTGTGCTCACTTGTCCCACATCCCTGCTTTCCAAATGTAGAAACCCCATCTCGAAGCAACTGTAGATGACTTGCTTCATATGAGGTCGAGGTGATGATGGCTTGATTGATAAACCTTCTTTTCTAAAGAAAATTCAATTGCAAAAGCTACTCTTCCACATATATAAAGAAGAAGAGAGAGAGAGAGGATCTTAATCGAATATTTTTGCCTATGTCACCTTTCCTACTCTTCCCATGATTAAACAAATTAAAGTATAAAATTATAAATCTCTCACTCTCTCTCTGTCTCTCTCAGTGTTTGTTTCTTTCATTAGGATGGATTAAAACATAAAGTACGATATAAGGGAGTAATAAAAGGAGATTATGCCCTTTCAGGAGCACTGGAAGCCACTGAGCGTTGAGTGGTACATGACCTCACCATCACTATCACCTTTCAAGTCTATTTCCTAATCATGGTCGACGCTCCTTTCTCTCTCACTGGCCACATAAACGCCAAGAAGCTACTCCGTAGGTAGATCCAGATTCGACGGAAAACGAGAAAAAAAAAATTCACTGGCTCACCATGTTCCTCGTTTAACCGGCCGGCAACGGCGATTTAATATCATTCAGCCAACAACAAGTTAAAACCGTCAAAATATTGAGACCCAGAATCCAATCGGAGTCTGACAACACTGCCATGACCACAAAATATCAATCTGCTCCTGCTACCCCACAATCACAAATCTAGCGAATACTACAAGTTTCAACGGTTGTTTTTTTCAATTTGTAAGTGAGCATCTCTTCCCCAAATAAAGTTAGTGTTTAGGGTTTATGGCTGTGTGGCTGTGTCTGCTGCTTTGCTAGTTCTGTGACATGTTAGTAATGGTTCATGACAATGAATTTGAACTTAGAAAGCAAATTAACATATAACCCAGAATTAGATTTAAGTTCTGGAGTTTCACAGTAGGTTGATGTTTCAGTTTGGAGGCTTAATTTGTTGCATATTTTTAATTGGTTGCGAGTGAGCACTTGTCTGGTTATTTCTTCTGAAATATTATTGCCTTTCGTCATTGCCTTATTACCCAAGTACTTTTGGCTTGCTTTTGGGCGTCGTAGTCTATTTCAGCAGCAGCTTCTGCTTGACTGGTTCCTTCAATCACCATCTGGGATTCTTGTTTAACTATAACCACGACCAAATTACATCTTTCTCACTCAAATCCTCCTCTCTTTTCCCCAAACAAAAATGACAGTACTGTCGTTGTTTTCCAAATCTTAACTACTTGATTTTGATAAATTAGACGTCGCACGCTTCGATTAACGAAAACCCATGAAGATTTTCCTGATTCTAGGAGTAATAAACTTAGCAAATCAGCTACAATGAACTCTTTTGCTGATTTCAGATCCCATAAAGCGATGGAAGAATGTTACATCCGACACAGTAACCAGTGCGTCTCGTCAGGAAACTAAATTCTAAAACAATGATTTTGTGATGACCCAAATTTGGTAGCCTTCAGTTCTTCTCATCTTGCTTCCTCTCTCTCTCTCTCTCTCTCTCTCTCTCTCAACAAATAAATGCAACCATTTACTGATTTACAGCAGTTTAAAACAATGACCACAAATAGAAAGGTTGAGTTCGGAAAGGCAAGGACATGTATGGTTCCTGGATAAAATTGACTGTGAAAAAGGTCAGAAAGAGTGACTACACATTAAATAAGGAGGAAAGAACAAGGAAGCCATCCACTCCTTTCTTTTATGTTGGGAAGAAGTCCATCAAATGCCTTTTACTGAATTCATTGGATGCTTGTATGTTTGTATGCTTTTAATGCTTAGTCCCTCTTTTTATTTTAGCTTATCGTTGCTTTAGATAGGCAGAGAGAGAGAGAGAGAGTCGGGGGATTAAGCTGCCTTCAATCTGTTTGTTGTTTGTTGTTTCTACCAAAAACAAATCTGTTTGTTGTTGTTCCGTGAAGAGGAGAGAGATTAGCTACTTAATTGATGCAAGAGAGGTAGCCCATGTGATGATTCAATCATTTGTCTAAGGTTGACACAAATTGAGTTGTAAAGTAAATCAAGATAGAACAATCAACATGAACCATGAATTCCCAATAAAGAAGCTATTGTTTTCCTTTTGTTGTTCTCTGAAAAGCAAACTTAGCCCTTTCCTAGTTAATTCAGTAGAGTTAAAGTGATAAACCTTAGGTCCATCTATCTTATACGTCAACAGCATTCTATTGCTACTTTCAATAAAAAGAGGCTGATTTGTGATTTCCTTTGCTAATCATCCATTGACCCAATCGAACCCATCCTAACAACCAAATCTGTTTGCTTTGGGATGTTAATTCCCTGAAATCCACTTGGGAATCACTCATCTACTTTCAATATTAAACTCGTATACAGGTCCCATTTAGACAGATTTATTTCTTAATAACATAAATCCCGGTGCTACTAAGAGAGAGTGTGTTCGGGTGATGGTTGAGCTGGCCAAGGATGTCATGTGGCTATCTATGCGGTCACCCACCTCTTAAGTCATGTCGACACTCTGTGTAATGGAAGAACACGACTAAGAAGGAGTATCTCATACGGACAATGAAGCAAACTCCGCCGAGAAAGAGGAAACCTCTCAAAGACCTTGGCGGATGCCCTCATCTTGACAACCCCGGTAGCCCTATCCATATAGGACACAGATGTCCAATTATAATTAAGTATTCCCTGCTTGAGGCAAGTGACTTTTCCGAAACCACACTCTTTGAATACCTCTTTACACTATCTCTTCGGCTTGGATCAACGTTATTTCAACATATTCATCTCAACATCATCATTCTCTATCCTATTGACTTAAGCATTGGAATACTTACCCAAGGAATAATTCCTCGAGCCTCTGACTTTTCTCCTAGTTACAGATCTCGGTGTGCGACTTCACCCTTTTACCCTGACCTCATCCAATTGATAGGACTATTTAGCAAGATTCATTGTAACACTGCAACCACATGTTCAACTTTCAACCCGACCCCAATTCATTAAATAGTTCAGATTTAGAACTATTCCCCCATTCTCTCTCTCTCTCCTATACGGCTATACGGGAAAACTGGGGGAAGTGAGCGGGTCGGGTTAATAATTGCCGCCCCACCCAAAATAGCATTATATGCCCTACTCCCCCCTTCCCATGGAAAGACATCAAAACGCGTATCGTACGCCTGGCCGAGTCATTGATGCTGATTGTTTAATGAGTGGACCCCCCTCAGTCCTCAGAGAGTTTCAGAGAAATCTCTCCCACGACAGCGCTCTCACCCTGAGATTCCCTACTGATTAATCTATTTCATTTGGCTCCCAATTCTTCATTTTCTCTTCTTTTCTTTTTGTTCTTCCCATCGTCAATCATCAATGAATTACTACTTCCCACGAAACCAGCAATGTTGTTGTTGTTGGTAGAGTTAGGCAAACTCTGGTGAGAGCGATCTCGTCTTATCATCACCATGGCTGCCCCCCAAGGGGGTGTTGGAAAAATCAAATATCATAATCTGTTAAATTCAGATATTCAATTCATACCATTTTAGTAACCCAATTGAATTTTATTAAAAAAAAAAAAAAGATGGATTGTTTAATTCTTATACATAATATATAAAATATTTAAATATTATATACAATTATATATAAAATTTAAATTATAATATATCGAATTGAATATTCGAATATATAATCGAATTCAAATATTAATCTTCAATATCTTTCAGATACTAAATCAAATTTTTTAATGGGATTGAAATTTGGATATTGCCAGTTTCGATTGGAATTTTTACACCCTACCTCAGTGTGGCACTCACTGCAGCTCTGCCGGTGGGAACCCAATTGGACAAATTATTTCTCTGCACCCTGCACTTCTGAGAAAGTAGAAACCCGTCTTCTAACTGTGAGTAGCCATGAATTTGACCTCCGTAACCCATAATTGTACCCCAAAAGAGTAGCAGTAAATTCTTCTCTCAGTCTCACTCCCAACGAGTTCAATTTTTTTCTAAAATCGTACCCTCCTCCTGCACGGAGGAGTACGTGTCAAATGGTGATTGCTGCTTTCTTGCAGTGGCAATTGCAGAAACCCCAGGAACCAGAAACCATTTCTCTAGGACAATTCAGCTTCTATGTAAAGCTTAGAGTTCATCACTGGAAGTGGCAATTGCAGAAACCCCAGAAACCAGAACCCATTTCTCTAGTACAATTCAGCTTCTATGTAAAGCTTAGAGTTCATCACTGGAAGTGGCAATTGCAGAGAAACCATTTTGTCTGGCACAATACAGTTTGGTTGTACAGCTTAGAGTTCTTGTTAAATCAGAGGAGAAAAAAAAATATTACTTTTGCCTTTTGAAACTTTTGTAAGGAATAAAAGAACGAAGAAAACAAAGAAATGTAGAAAAAGTAAAAAGAAATTGAGGGAGAAAGAAGGCATTAAAGGAGAAGAGTGAGGACGATGGGCCATGTGCTACACAACTTGGAATGCAAGCCAGAATCCGATCTTCACAGTTCACAAATTGCCACCTAGCAAATTCTCTTTATAATTTTAACCCCAATTCAATGTAGGATCTACCACAATTCAGAAACGTGATAGAGATGGAAACCATCCAAAACAACTTTTCAGAATCGTGATTGGGATGGAAACTATCCAAAAAAAAAAAAAAAAAACTTCTCTTGATTATAGAAACCTCTATTCCTCCCTCCTATCTCTTCTACCGTTCTGTCTTTGTTTTAAATTTTTCTTTTAGACGTCAAAACACATCACCCTGGGCTTCTTCTTCCTCCATTCTACTCAGTGTTTCAATCTTCATTTTATACATCAATACAGGGGTTGAATTCTTGGAATGGGTGATTGGCATTGATTGGGATGTTTCAGGAGCTTTGGTGATGTTGAAAAGTGACGAATCAGGTTATTCTACAATTATTTGATGTTACTTATGTGCAAGTATTGGTTGGAAATTTCCGTGTGACTTTTCCGACACACAGAAAGGGAAAAACGAGAACACATTCGTTCTCAGATTTTTCCGA